TAATTGCAAATCTTATTATTATATATACATTTTATCGATAAAAAAACAGAATATAAAGAACATGCGAAGCTAAATAAAACCTTAGCTTTCTAATTTTTTATTTGTATACATATAACAAGTGTTCTTGCATTGAAAAGTAGGAACGAAAATGTATAAGTAATAAACAGGTCAATTTGATTTTACCGCCATTCTGTTTCAAGCATCTATATATACCGATAGGGGGTATATATGTATAATAATATGTATAAATACATACAAAGGATAATTGTGGCTGAAAATAAGCCTTTTCACTTGTCTTGAACGATGAGAACCGCGACTATGTTCGTGAAACGACGCATAATGCCGCCGCCAGGACTCCGCGAGCCGCGGATTCATTACTAGGCGCTCATGTTATCATAGGAACTATGAGTAACACTATGAATTACTGAAATGATTTCCGACCGCAATTATACTTCGATACACGCGTATACATATCGTTGACACTCGCCAAGACTCCTCACCTGCCCATCAAAAGACGTAAAGTTATCCACATTGGCTAACCGAGGAACCGGCTAACATGTAACGTAAAAGGTTACGTAGACCGCTAGAGGATGTACCGTAATACTGCGCAGTACGTCGTTCCCTGCCTTTAATATCTTCATGTACGCCTGATAGTTACTTGGCGAAATGTTCAGCAACTGTTTCGGGAACCGTTTTTCTTGGCACCCTGAAGTGCACCCTGGGTGCGACTATTATTTGTAAGGGTATATTGAATTATTGGAACAGACCGCAATGGTATTTAGTTTTGCATTAAAAAACTTAACTAATTGTAAGTTAGACTTTCAGAACCGAATAAAGTTTCAGAAGAATTATATTACTGACTTTAAACAATCGTAACTTTCGTTACATGTAATTTTATTTAATAAAATAATCACCATTTAATGCTGAAACCATTTCCTAACCGTTTTAACTTAACATTTTACAGGTTTAGGTATCTTGTGAGCGTAAGAATCTTGCTTTCTAGAAACGAATAAATCGTGCACTTTGATTTTGTGATCATTCCTTAATCTTTAAATAATTAAAAGATTAAACATGAACAAAAATAAATAAAAATTGCAAAGAGAAAGTTTAATTTTGTTTTAGGTTACAGAAACAGTGTAAGGCTGGACATTATCCTGCAAGAGGGATACGTAATTTTTGTTTGCACGTACTTGTTCGATATTAAAAATTTTTTAATGAACTACGTCGGTTTCTTTATAGTAAAATCTCAATAAAATACAATAATGAAGGAACAGAGTTATTGTAGCTGTTAGAAATTTTCGTAGAATACAGCGGCGTGAAAATAGTTTTACGCATTAAAATCGTGAGGGGTGGGTTATCGTAAAAAAATGAAGCAAGTTTTACGAGACTTCTAAAAATCTTTTTGTCAGAAAGGATATTATTCTTCGTTCACCGTGACCAAGTCCAAATTATTGTTGCGTGTAGCAATCGACCGTTATGAATTTTTGACGTTTAATTAAATTTTGAGAATTATCGCAGGTATTAAACATCTCGGAGTTTGCATTCGTAAAATTCAACAGTTTCAAAGAAGGGCCAATTAGCTGTCTTATCGAGAAGAAAGGCGAAAGTTTCTTTTTTAGTCTCTATAATGTTTCGATACACACATATTTACTTACTTATCCTTGACACTCGCCAAGCCTCTTCACCTGCCTATCAAAAGACGTGAAGTTATCCACATTGGCTAACTATGTAGGCGGCTCGCATGAAAGAAAGTAGGTTACGTACAGCTCTTGGTGGGGGACTAGAGGATGCGCAGTAATGCTCCGCGCAATAATGCTTGCGCAGTAATGCTCTACGCAGTAATGCTGCCAGTACGTCTCCTGCCTCCTATATCTTCATATACCGCTAGTAGTTACTTGGCGAAATGTTCGGCAACTGTTTTGGGAACCGTTTTTCTTGGCACCCTGAAGTGTACCCCGGGTGCGTCCAATTACCTGTAAGGGCGTATTGGGTGACGGAAGAGACCACAGCGGCGTATATTTTATCAGGCGTACCAGGGTCTTGGAAATACGTGGCAGAAACTGTTTTACCTACGCATTCGTCGGTAAGTTGACTTCTGCAATGCTATTATTCTGACGCAAGAATTGCATTGTTTCGCAAATTATAATTTTTCTCGACTCCGTACTCACTTTTCCCGAACATTCATAACCATCTAGATGTGTAATAAATAAAATAGTTTCTTAATTTTATGAATATACAAAGGATTCAACGAAAGGTAAACAACGCGATTATGATGAGGTTAGGTTGTCTTTATTTTCACAAATCATATAAAAATACAGTAATAAACTACAGGATACAATATTTTTTAGAAGTAGAGGCACAAATGGTGTATGAAATTGTTAAGAGTTACTGGATTCTTCTCGTACATTAATCTTCATCGTCGCTAATCATTACATGAGATGACCTGTGTTGATTACGTTGCTCTTGCGCTGGTTCCTCTTCGTCGTCACTAATTATGGTTTTAGTGAATTTCTGCTTGGTATCCTGAGACGTTAATGGCTCTTGTTCTTCATCGCTATCCAGTAGACGACGTTTTTTTACTGCTCCATTCTCCTTGTCTGAGCTGTCGGATCGATATCTCTTCCCTTCGTCTAATACAAATATCCAGTTAACAAACCATCAAGTCAAAACAATACTGTACTCTTTATAGTTTTTGTTTGGCTAGTAGCTTATTTATTTACCTTGAGCATCTATAGTGTTGATTTCAATTTCCAATTCAGAATCAGACGAGTCGATAAGTAATTTAACGCGACCACTGGAATCTTTCTTCTCGGTTTTAGAAATTTCTGTAATTAATAACGATAGCAGCGATGAAATTAATTGCTAAATTTCACGCAGTCGACATATCGATGGATATTAATTTTTGCACACATTTGCTGGTAAATTTCTGAAGTTCAGAAAGTTTAACCTGTGACGTCAACAGAGGGCACATAGCTATCTATTTCGAACGTGGTAATACGTACCGACTGTCTGCGAGTTTCCTGCTTCTGCTTCCTCTATTTCTGGACCGTCACACTCTATGGAGTTCGAAGAAACTGTTGAGCTTTTCACTGGCTTGGGTGTAGAACTAACTCTAGGTTTAGAATTGCCAGACGTTGATGGTTGTTCTTCAGCTAAAAAATTTACAACAGTTTTAAGTTTTAACATATCCTTACTAATATATCTCTTTTCTTGCAAACAAAAAAAATTGCTAAAACTTCAAAACTAAAATTGCTAAAGATTGCTAAATAAAATTTTAAATCATCATCTACAAATTAAGAATATATTCATACTTAGTTTGTAGATGATTTTAAGTTTTGTTTAACAATCTTTAGTAATTTTACTTTTTAGGTTCTAGCAATTATGTTTTAGCAAAGATGACAAATATAAAAATTATTTTACAAGTAATACAAAATATGTTTACAAGATAAAGATAATCTGTGGTAACAACATATAAATATAGGAAAATATATGATTTTACAATGCCTACTAAAAATATTAAAGTATAAAGTTTTAACTTGATTTTGCTACTGAAATTTTACTTAAACAATATTATAAGTAAATACAACCAGAATTAATAAACACAAAGTTTAAAATTGTATATTGCGACAAACTAATTCATAATTAAAATTATTACTTTATGGGAATACAGTAAATAATGAAGGAATCAGCTAATATAATAAACTAACTATGAAAAATACAAGCTTTATTTATTCAAAATTAAATTGAGATTATTGAATAATTAACAGAAAATAAATGGCAAATTAGAATTATGTATATGTATACCGTGACATTATTGTAATAAATTAATTTCGATACTGTACAATATTTTGTTAACAAAATGTTAGTCTACGTAAGTTAGTGTTCCAAATTAAAAATAAATATTCGAGAATAACCTACCTTTAGAAGTGAAGTATTTTTTAATATTTTCCAGAACATCGACGTCATCGTCGCTTTCATTGTTTTTATCGCTATCCAATTCTATTTTTGCTGGTGCTGGTTTTTCTTCTAGTTATAAAACATAAAAATGAATGTAAAAGAATATTTAATCACATTAAAGCAAAAGATGAAAAAGTAGTACACAACATTTTATTACACAGTTATTAAGTTCTTAAATATTTCCATCATCGTTGGAAATTCAATCCTTTGCAGATTAAAAAAAAATCATTTACATTTATCTGTTAACAATTCAACTAAGGAAAAAGAATAATGTAAAAGGATGAAGAATTTAGCAAAGTTTCTATACACAAGGTTCCAAAGGCAAATACAAGTCAGTCTCTTGTTTACAAGCGAGTAGGAAAGACGTTCTTGTCCGAGTGTACGTATTGTATTTACGTGCCTCAGTATCGATGAAACTGTTTATAAAACTGGAACGTTTCAATGTTTAGTACAGTGATATAAGTGAGCTGATGTATTGACAAAGTTCTTTCGCATAGAATATTTCTCATATATTCATTTCATTCATCCACATTTACTTCACTTATCAATAGAATGGCAATCGATGCTAAATTATTTCATCTAAAATAGGCATCTAACTCAAAATATTTATAAACACGCTTCATACTTTTTCGATTATTAATTTTCCGATTAAAAATTTTTCCGAATATTACGTTTCTAAATAAAATAACGTAAACATTATTTACTTACTCCTTTCTCTGTTAAAATTATACAATGCAAAAGAAACTTTAATTAGGCGCACGGAGATTTTTCTAACTGAGTGTAAAATTAAAAATTAAGTAAATATTAATGAACGCTTTCCGACTGGATTCACGTAATTTATACAAAACCACCGAGTTTCTATCGCGATGGTATTCGCAAGCTGCCAGAAAAATGGCAAAAGGTCATCAACTACCATGGAAATTATTTCGACGATAGATCTGTTTTCATTCTCTTTAACCCTTTCATTACTATTGGCACCTATCAAAAATTTGCTCGCACTATACTGCTGGAGCCTTATGGTGCACTTCCACCTTAATTTAATAAACCGAATTTTAAAACGATACGGCCAAAATAACAAATTCTGCATCCGTGGTTAAATATTTACCTTCAGTCACCAACGTTACGCATTAAAATCAGCGAAAGGGTTAAATGAAACTAATATGTATGCATTACAAGTAAAAAAAATGAGAAGTCTTACCTTCGACAATTAAGTTTCCTGCCAATCCAGCGTCAATAAGATTGCAGCGCTTTTGAATCGTCGACCTAAGCATATTAGCCGGTATACGCCAATAAGATTCCTGTTCATTAGAGGGAGGTGTGAATCCCATAGCTCGAATAAGCTTTTGAAAGCTCGGCGAATCCATCGCGGCCACCGAATAATCTGTCAGTGGGACTAAGGGGATACCTTCGGAGCTTTCCTCGTCTCGATCGTCCAGGACATCCTGCAGGGATTCCTTGATCCATTCCAGAGCTGTGCTCATATCTGATTCATCGAAAGACTTTGGTCATTGCATTTTTCCATAAAAGAATCGCGACGATTGTAACGAAGTGAAGGGTGTAATTGTTAAATTTGAGATTAATGTCAATTTTCGTATTAACAGTGGGAACAGAAAAATGTGATCTGCGAAATAGTAAGAATTTTTTTATTATGTTCTTGTTATTTCCAGGCAGATTTATTCGAATGATTATCATTATTTTAGTATTCTTAATTTTTTACTTAAAGCTTCTACTTTAAGTTCCTTCGATCTCAACATTTTACTTTGGACTCAGGAAATTTCGAATTTCTTTCTTGGGAATAGTAGATTTGAATACATCTAGATCTTGGAAATTTATTTCTTCGTTGTTAGATTTTGAGAAATTTTGAGAAATTCACTGTTTTTCTGTTTACAGTTCAGAATATTTTCGTAATATCGTAACACCGTATTATTAACACGATTATGATTTATGACTTCGTCCTTAACATTTTAACGATCTAGCATTTTTTAAATTAAATATTTTATCAAATCAATTATATTAAGAAAAATGTAAAAATTATTATAAATCTGTTCAGTGAACTTGTAAGAAACAGATAATGATCAATTTCTAATTAACAACGCAGTCCCGTTTGCACAAAAGTTCCGGTTAGACTAAAACAGAGGAGGAAATAAATCTCCGTTGATACGACGAAACCTAAAGTCTGGCATAGTCCAGGAAAATATCTCACTGCTGCTTTGGAATGTCATTGAAACCTGCTACCCTTCTCGAAGGAAATGGTATTCTGATAGGTGACAAGGACATTGGCTCGACACAAAAGGGCGACTGGATCGTTTTTTAACGGTGTCTTTTGGAAAATCCAAGGGGATAAACTGGTACTTCCCGATGCGGGCCACATTTGTACCGCAAGCAGCAGTTTCTTTGACAAGTCGTTACTTTTTCCATTCGTTTTTTCCTTTCTTTCTTTCCCTCTGTAGAACGATCACTGCAAATCCTTCTGCCCTTTCACACCAGCGTACGAACATTTGTCGTCCACAGGCGTAAAAGAGGAGAGGATAATATTCGAAGTTGCTGCCGTGAATTTTATTCCCATAAATCACTGGGAACGTATTACGAAGCTTGCAAAAGAAAAGCACGACTCGCACAGTATTACTCACTTTTTTCGATGACATCCTTCAACAGTCCAGATAATTGTGCATCCGTGTAGACTATTGTTGCCCGTTTCTTCGTACTTTTCTTCCCTCCGTTGTTCGCCGGTTTATTGGAAGTTGTGTTACCATCCCCCGAGGATCTTCCAACTTCTTCGTCTGTGTCTTCATCCTCGTCGGAATTACTGGCAGACCGTGTTTCCCAAAACGATTTACCTTTTTGCAAAATATAATACATAGGAAACGGGTATAAACGTGAAATACGTGAACGAGAAATATGTTGAATACGTATAGTTGAATTGATGATAATATAGAATTATTAAAATATATTTGATTTCTTACTTTGGTATATTTTAGTGACGTTTAAATATGTAAATTAACAGATTCCAAATTTTCGTTAACCCTAGTGCGGTCCTCGGGTCATCTTTGACCCGTCACCTCCTTATTTTTTTAAACGATTTTTCTTGTTATCAAATTTATGTTCGTTGATTTCTTACTTTAATATATTTCTGTACTTATACTATTTTAACGTTTAAATATGTAAATTAAAAGATTCCAAATTTTCGTTAACCCTAGTGCGGTCCTCGGGTCATTTTTGACCCGTCACATTCTTATTTTTCTAAACAATTTTTGCTGTTAATCAGATTTACGTTCCCTTGACATTGCATTAATAGTTTATTGTTCAGATTCATATTGCGTGCTGGTAAAAAAAACAGCTACACATAAGATAGAAATATATAATACATAAAATAAATATATCAAAGTAAGAGAGCAAAAAATCGCAATGGCAAAAATTTTAATATCAATACTAATACCAATATTTAAATTAAATTTTTAAAATAGGAAATAATTCTTGAGCAGCAAATCCTACTGAAAAAAATTGCATTCACTATGCAGCGGAAGGATTAAAAATTGAAAAGATAATTAAAACGCCCAATACAGTTAGAACATAATTACGACCACGTATCTGACGCATTAAAAAATCATATCGATGATCTGAGATAATATTTACCTAAAGTCACTGTTCGTTCAATTTATCAAATCTTTGCTTACCTGAACGATTATCCAACCTAACCGTGTTAAAATAAATATCGAAAACATTTTCCACGTTTCTCTCTCTGGATCTTTATCAATTATATCGCATATCGGATAGTGTATATATGTACGTTAAACTGGCTCCACGAGCCATGAATGTAGAAAACACGATTGAAGTAATATTTGCGTTTCTGGCTCAGAATTGCGCGGGAGCGCGCGAGTAGTCAGTCCACAGGCGGAATCGTCGCAGAATACAAATCTTGTTATTTAATATCGAGGTACGCGAATTCCAGCGGGTAGTTTCCCTACTACCCGGGCCAATATCACTCGTCTCTGCCTACCATTACACCGCTAGGAATTTCATATTTATCGTTGTTATTGTTTTTCTCTACCTCTCCGCGGCTGGTCCTTATTTGTATTCAATGCGTCGCGATAGATCGCATCACAGACATATAAGGTTAGGAGATGAAGTATAAAAGCAAAGCTTTGTCTCGGCTTACGTGCTATTGAAATACCATTTCCTTGTTGCTTCTTGCAAATCGAATGCGATTTCGCGAACCGGCACACCCGATGTGTTTTCAGGTGCAACGACAGATTTTAATATCGTATGTATTGTATTGTATGTACGACGAATGAAATATTTTAGGGACATGTGCGAATCGAGAAAATACATTTTACCTTGTCAGAGTGAATCCCTTCTTCTTTGTTGCTCAACTTCGTGAATGAAGTTGTGGAACAGCGATTTTTATCTCGTCGTACATGTAAATTAATTACTAAAATTCTGCGGCACACCAAAAATTGTTACACTGTTTCTCATGTCTGACAGAAAAGTATACACTTTTGAGTGATTCACAAAAGAAGCAATGTGTTTCTTCTGTTACTTTCTTTTAACTTTTTAAAATTTGTATTAACAAATTTTGGACACACCTGTGGACCTCTCGCGGCACACAAGAAAATCAGTGTTTTAGAAGATCGGTTGGTTTGTAATTTCTGTGTTTGTTGAACGCTAATTTGCGGAAAGATTGAAATTTTTTCTGACCTTCGTTAAGATTGGTAATACCAGCAGCACGATGTAACTTAATTTTTTAACCACGGCAAATATATATTAATAATCGCAAAATTTAAGATTACTTGGTTTATGCTCGTCTAATAAGGATAGTTTGTTTTATTTTATGCAAAAGGAAAATACAGCAACGGCTAATTAAGATTAATGTACTATGGTCCGTGATTTATTTCAGGTGTTTCTGTTTAAGGAAAACATGTTATTGCATAATTAGCTAAAGAGAGATAAATGTAAATGTTCAAAGTATAAAATTTTACATATTGAACATTTTTCTTTTATTTGTTTTTAGTGTGATAAATTATCGAATTATATTTGCAATAGAGTAATACGCTGTTATGTTATTTTATCCAAAATAGTCTCTGTTCACGTATTTTAGTCCAAACTGATTTGCTACTAAAGCGTACTATAGTTAGCTAATAAAATTTTTATATACACAGATACTGTACGTTAACGTAAGATAAAATTTCAAACATTTCCTAATAACTTCTACTTTAATAGAAAACTAACTAAAAAATTTCAGCCTACAAGGAATGACTTTCAATCAGTAATTGTGTATACCGAATAAACATAAATCAAAACTGCAAAAAATCACGTAAACATATTCAACGTCGATCTCAAAACAGATTCACTTGATTCCATAACTTTATCTTTCCATATGACCAAAAAAAAAGTGAGAACAAAATCTGTATAACCTCCGACAATATCGACGAAGGGTCCTT